TCGGCTGTCGATGCTAAGTATAGTGATAGGGCGGGCTCCTTACATCCCCCTTGCTGTACACAAGCGACGTCCTCGACGCTGCTACGATCGTATCGGGTTACATCCACCATGTCGCCTTACAACTCGTGTTATTATATAAATGAATACAAAAATTCAAACGTGGCGGACAAGTTTTTTGGCGTGGCGGAGACGTTTGACGGCGTCGTAAGTGATATATATAATATATGATATATTATTAAAACGTAAAACGATACTGTTTCAGGTCATTAAGTTGTCTGATCCGATGACGTGAGGGATGGACAGGGTTGGATCGGTCGCCATGTATACGTAGAGGTCCCAGTCGATGTCCTGAACATAAGGACAGAATAGTCAAAGGCATTCAATGCGATTTCAGGTCGGCAAAACATGAACAGTAATCCTCTTAGTTTAGCAAGCGATAATTGGCTGCCCTAGACTCTATCCAAGCAACCTTTCATCTTGTATGGTTATTGCAATAAAGCTGATTTTAAACCTCTTAGGCCACACCAATTTAATTTCTAACGGAAATATATCACGGTTGGAAATACTGGACATGCCAAGTACAGGCACGACACGCCTGTCGCATTCTTTCAACACGTAGGGTCTTCGGAAATTAGTCAAATCATACATTGGAAGGACCAGGATCGATTCAGCCATTAAAAAAAACCGAACCGTGCCTGATCTCGGCTAGCCCGAGCATCGCAGAAAATCAGATCCTACAGTTACATCATCTCAACCTGGAACGCTACCTGTTCGAAACACTGATTGGAAACCCTACTTGCTTACTTGCTTATTCACTCCTAACTTGAACGAACAAGGTGCCGAAAAGAGTAGAGGTAGGCCTAAGACACGCCTGGGGTGCCAGAAAAGAAGGCGGTTCCGCCTAACAAACCAGAAAAGGTGGCCAGAACCTCTACGCCGGTGGAAGCAACCAGCCTCTACTCACATGAGTTTAGAGGTCAAGAATGCAAATGACAACAAACCACGTCATCGTCAAAGGAGCACACACTACCGTCAAGAAAGGCAGCATCATTTTACGTTCGTAATCACTTCGACAACATTGAGTACATCAGATGTAGATGAATCATTCATCAATTTAAGTAGCGTGCATCTCCTTGCGGTGCTATCTTAATCCAGCACGCTACAGAGTATCCAAAACACATCTTTTCCGTAGCAACCTAACAGTTGTATCACTTATCTCAGGTTTCTATAGTTACTCGCGGCATATCAGGGAGATAAGGACCAGACTCAAGAGTAGTAGAAGGTGCTGAGATCAAGTTCTTCCAAAACATGGAAGGAGAGGATTTTGTCTACATTGACTCAATACTAGGGTTACTAGGACCCAGTACATCTTCCTACGCTATTCATATAGGAATCAACATTTCCATATCATTTCAACATCCAATACAACTCGATCCCCTAACATAAATCACACACTATCCTAGCACTAATGATGACGACGGTACCGTCCTCAGACGGGGTTCTAAAGCCGTGTAGCTGGCCTACGGGCAGGGTCGCAACTCCCTGGGGGTAACCCACTTAAAAACCCGGCTACCCGCATCGGTTACAGGGGGGGGGGGGCAATTTCTTACAGTTAACAATTTTCGTACTCTACCAAACTACTAAATACAAAAAGTACATTATGCGTCATACCTTCTCGGGAAACCATGGTGGAAACTGGCACTTTGGAATAAGTCCACATATCAATGTCCACAAATATCCATGTATTCTAGTCCTTGAATCCCCGGGACCACTCCGCGTAGCGGGGAAGGGGATCCGGGTACGACCGGAGTTCCCATCGTCGCATCAGCGGCTCATCCCAGGTCAGTTCGTAAGGTGGGTACTGGTACGACGCGATGCGGCACAGCACGTCCTGCCGTCGGGCTCCTAGCGCCGCTGGTCTGAGCTTGTGCCGGACGATGGCCCGCAGCCGGCACATCATGAAGTCCAGGGTGCTGACCCTCTCCCGCAGGGTGTTGATGCGGCGTACTATGTCGAAGCGGGGATGTGGCCGCCAGGATGAGACGAAGGCCTCCATTGGATGGGACCGGGATGTCCCGGCGCCCCAGAAAGTATTCCCACAGGTAGTTGTGGAGGTCCCTGGTTTCCGGGGCCCCCGCCTCCTCCCTCTTCGCGGATGCTCCTCTCAACTTCCCCCTTCTTGTAACGAAGGTAGGCGTATTCCCGCTCCATCAGGTAGCGGGCGTACACCTCTCTCATGTGACGCGGGTTGACTATCCAGGTGCTCACTCCGGCGTGTTGCGTGCTGGGCCCGCTCCGCCCAGGACGTCCCATCGGGGTTGGTGACCGGGCACATCAGGTCGTAGCAATTCTCCCCGATCCTCCCCTCCCCAGTTCGCTTCGGACCCCGACTCTCCTGGGTCCCAGTCCTCCATCGGCTCAGCCGTTGCCATCTTGATTGTACTTCTTCGGTGGGAGTTGCGGATTGGCTTTCCCCCCGATGAATTCTTTGAAAAATATGTTTAGACGGTGGTGAAACTGACGGGCTGCTGTCACTGGATTGCAGCGAAGCCAGTTGCATTTCTCCTGCCCTGCCATGGTCTTCATGTCATCATCAGTCAGATGTTTTCCACACTGACGGGCGATGCTCTGTATTACTTCTGGCCACTGCATGTCCACAGCTGACAGTCTGCAGTGTACACCACAGAACGTCTAAAATCTAGTACTACACAGGGAAAAATTTTCTTACCTAAATCCCCGAAGTTCTCCCAGTTTGAGGCAACTGTTGTGGAGAAAAGTCGGGTAGAAAAAACACGGTATGTAACAGTCAACTCTGATACTGAAAAGGAAGCACCGTCAATGACACCTTCAGGTAACTAGTACAAGGAGAAGAAATGGAAAGTAGCTAGAGAGGGGAGAGACGGGCAAACAGGCTAGGGCAGCCGGTGCCCAAGACGGAAAGGTGTGGCGGCCGTGCCACTGGGTGACGCCGTTGACACCCAAAAGTTACTACATATTTTTGAATATTTTCCACTTGACCAGTAGCCAACAGAAGAACAGCATGTACTTGCTTTTGCATTCTCTGTAGCAATTGTCCATTTGTCGGTAGAGAGTTGAACCCAGCCCCATGCCTTTATGCACGATCTTGAAGGTTTGCAGGAGGCTGGCAGTGCTGAGGTTGTTTCCATGTGGGAAGAGACTTGCCTCCAAAAAGATGAACAGAAAAGCTGGTACCTTATTTTCAATCGCAGTTCTACGTCTAGAGTGCATTTACTGATAACAGTGTGCGTTTGGGGGCCATGGCAATCTTGAACAGTACAGCTGTCCCTGCACTTGATGGTAATACTTGGTAATAATTATACTGTATACTACACACATGATAGCACATTTCTCTCAACAGGACTATAGCACATTGTACACATGAGTTTTCGTCCATCTGTCGGAGCGCCTGGTCGATGTCGTAATCGGTATACGTAAGGCCCGTCTGCTTAAGCCTTCTTAGTACAGCCCGCAGACGGGCCAGCAGGTTGTACTGTTGGATGGTGTAGCCTGGCTCGAGCTCTGACATGTTGGCGTTAGAAGCTGAGCGGAAAGAAGGAAGTTATGGGAGGAAGTCATCACCAATATGGTGTGTTAACATAAGTGTTTTCTAGGGCGCGTGGTTGAAAATTGGGTATTGAGGGGAAAAGTTGTGTCATGCGCTACCAATGGTAATGGCTGTATACTGTACACTAGGTTAAGCAACCTTCATATCAGACAAAGCAATGATGTTATTTCAGAATACCATGTGGATTGAAGACAACACATTGCATATAGGCCCAGTACAACAAAATACCAACTCTCTTGCCATACAACATTAAACTGTCTCTGATGATGGTGGTAATTGTTGTACTTTTACCTTTGACCGTCAAACACTGTCAGATTATATGGAGGCGCATCAACTACACAGCCAACTAGATTATGCACACCCTTAGTGCCCTCGAGTGCTCTCAGCATGTTGACTTCTTTCAACTGATATTTCAGCTGATCTGTAGAGCTGTCAGCACTGGATCCCCGGTTCCCTTCCCTTCAGTACTTCACGGGTGGGCTTGCCCTGCTCTCGGTCCGCGTCTTTCCTGCAGGGAGACACAGCGTTTAAATCTGCCGCGGCCTCCGGTTTGGTCAGTAGGATAGGCAAGTGATAACTGGTAAGTTTTTCCAATACAGCATGTAACTACATATATATACTCTAATGAAGACTAAATAGGGTGTACATTGACTAAATAGGGTGTACATTGTTGGCAACCAACTTACCCACACTACACGTGTCCACTAGCTCACGGACACGTACGCGCGTTACTTTGAATATACCCACAGTTTCTTGACCTGCATAGTGAATTTTATGGCAGAATTATACCCCGTAACAGTACTTAGGGCACAAAGTATTGCTGCACAACACTTCAGCTTCTTCTGTGTGCATAAGCGAGGTGGAAACTGTAGTGAATGGTAGATGAACGCGTCAGAATAGAGGCGAGGCTGTAAAAGTTGAATTACTAGTAATAGTGTCGCATTTGTTCGGTTGGCGTTAAACTTGGCGCCTGGATACAGACACCGACTTACTGTGCTAGTTGTGCGTTGGCTCCACATAACTTATAGAAAGAGGGCGTCAAAAAGAAACGAGCAGGCAAACTTAGCCCATATTCATATATTTTTGTACTACAAAGGACGCTACCATATTAATATAAAGGCCATCATGTCAGATAGCGCCTGAACGACTTGTGCCAGAACAATGACATTAGCGACTTTAACTAAAATGTATCGTGTTGCCATGGCAACGGATTTCTATTATGAAATTAACAATACAATAAAAACTATTTGTTATAGTTACTAACCATGATCTGCTTGGCAGCAGACTCGAATTCGGGCTTCATCTGCAGATCGCCATTGCAAAACAGCGTGAAGAGTTCGAACACTTGGTATTTCTTTTTTATGCCACACAGGCACTGGAATAGTGCCGTTGTGACATTCCTCGTCCGTTGGTTTCAATACTCTCCCTGGCTCCATTTGCGCATGATGCGCTTGGCCAGGGAGTAGCACCGGTGACTCATGGTGGCCACCATCAGAGCTGTGGGTTTTTGGATGAAATTTCCTGTGTAGATAAAGATCAAGATTATAGAATATATTTCAAGAAGCTGATTGCACAAATGTAGCATCTGTTATTTCCCTCCCTACTGGCAGCGGCGGTTTGATTTTTCTGCAGGTTGATAGTGAGTATTTCTAACGTACGCTCTAGCAACTGCTCCACCCGGTTATTACTACTACCAGTGCTGGAGACGCAAATTTAGAACCTGGTCCTGATAAGTTACAAACAGGCATTGTCACTAGAGATAGCGCGTCTGCTTTCGAAACGTACTCCATTTAGTCGTGTTCGCACATATTTGGAAACCGTCCGATGTATGTCCTTCTAGCTTTTGTCACTATGATCAATCTCCATGAAAACACTCTTTCGGTACAGATCTGTTACTGGTATAGCCGAGTGTGTATTCGTCTCAACAACTTCGACAGCGAAGCTTTCCATGTCCAGACTCAATGCCTGTTTGACATCAGGATCAGATACGTCAGCTGCATTGATGATCGGAACAGCTGTTCCAAAACGTTCAAGACTGCCAAAACCTCGTCATATACGTGACAGATCAGGACGACTTCACCATACTGGATGCGGCCATGCTCCCTGTACTCGACGATTCCTCGCCCTCTCGCGCTTTATCTACTCGTTCACTTGTGTCTAGCAAATCTGTCGCATATCCTTTCCAAGCCATTATCTCCTTCTCCATTCTTTCCATATCTTTGGCAAATGTTTCCCTCAATTATTGGATCTCCTTTGTTTTCAGTCGTTCACCTTTGTCTCTGTCCTTTCTCGCTGGTTGTTGCTGATCAGTCAGCGCTGCTTTGGTTTTCTCCAGCTCATCATGAAGGTCTCGTTGACGTACACCAACCATCTTCTGCATTTTCCTGTTGTTGTTCAGTTCCTCCTCTAACTTTCGTTTGCATCGTGTAAGAGATGAAGATGCCTTCCTTAATTGTTCTTTCAACTCCACTTTCCCAGGTGATGAGTTGTACGAGGTTGCATTTCTAAGGTACATGTTCTTGAGTAAACTCCAGTGACTTTGTGATATCTGCGTTCTCTCTCAGTGACTTGAAGACGTCGCCACACACAGCGTCCACGCTACTTTCGGATTAATTGAATTATGCGGTCTAACAGATCATTTTGTCAGACCGACAAAATTGGTTGTCAACGAGAAAACTGGCCAAGGAACCGATGGGTCGAGAAAAACCACGAACGGTCGTTCTAGCAACGATCGGACCTTTTTCCCACGGTCGAGTTTTCGAGCCCTTAGCCACGGTCGGGCTCTGGAACAAAACACGTTCGGGCCTTGTGATGTCAAAAATATACAGTTTTAAACTAGAATCCAGGAAATGTTGCAAGTGTTTTTTCACAAAGACTGCATACATGTATGTCTCCATGCCTGTGTTTCAGCAGTTAAGATTTCACCGAAGATTTCCAAAAAAATATCAGGTTACCCCAATGACCTAAAAACAGCCACCTTCATATATCAGCACACAGTACTGGTAATTTAAGTTTTCCTTCCATTGCCACCTAACCCTATATGTGATGCTGGATCAGAATCTTCACCTCCAATGTAGTGGCCTCCTGGCCATTCATGATGTTGTCCATCAGGGCTTTTGTCCAGCCCTTCACTGTGCCTTCCTTTATATCAATTTGGCTATCCATCATCTTGGTCACGGCACCATATTTCAACTCTACCCTGTAAAATTTGGTGGCAACATTTTTAAAGCTTGACAGGGGGGAGAGCAAATAAGTTAAGTATTGACTGCTGTGATGGGTCTTCATATATAAAAATATATATTATAAATGTTCACAAATCTTATATAACAATGAATACATCTTTTCCCCCCTTTTTGCATCTTTTCCCCCCTTTCTGCCTTATAAAAAAAAAATTTCCTGGTATCCTAAGTAAAACTTTGTGAGAAAAGAAAAATGTCTTGCATTTATCCACAAAGTTTTAATATCATCATTTACCCTTCATAGCTGGTTTTAACTCATACACCGGGTCACGTATCAAAACTGCCAATTTGATTTGTGTGTTTATTTATTTGTTTATTTGCTGTTTATGGGACATTTACTGCAACAGAACCCTCGTATACACTACTGCACATGTTAAGTGTGCATATACCTTGTGTGTGTTGGTGCAAAGATCTCTTGAAACACATTTTAGATTTAAGTATTGATTATCGCCCTATATGGGCCAAATGTACTAAGGTTTAATAACAAAGGTGTACTGGTAGAAGGAAGAAGTACTACATTACTACATTGTGTCTATATCAACAAGATCTCTTCTTTTTTTGAAACATGCCTGTACAAATTTACATAGTTTTTCATTAACATCGTAGTTTCTAGATGGCATAATATACTTGAAGAATTATCCTTTGGGTAAGTGCGCATATTTTGGTTCTAACTGTAGGAAACTATTGAAAGCTTTCCGCATGTCAGTGTATAGTGATTGAACACTCTAAAACAAAATGTGCTTTGTCCTCTACACAGTTATCATTCCAGAGAGTACAGATTCTGTCATTTGGGGGAGTCTGGTTGTTCCTACCAGCTTCAATCTGTAATCGGTGATCGCTAATCCTAAGTTTAGTCAAAGCTCGTCGATGACTAAACTTCTGTACCTCTAGATATTGTTCTTTTTCATATGTAAGCTTCAACGTTCTGTAAGTTCTCAACTTATTTCCTTGCTTCCCATTTTTGCTACACTCGGAGTTCATTTCTGAATAGAAATGTTGAAGAAAATTGTCTTTTAGCCTTTGTTTTAGTTCAGATTGAGCAGACAATGTGTTTCGGTCTTTTTGAAGTAGAAGGTAGTAAAATACTTGAGGAGTCTGGTTTCGCCTAACATTTGACATCCAACATGGTATTTTACATCGGTGCAGGTCTTGCTGTACTAACAGAGCTTCATAGAGTATACTCTCCATCAGTATTTCTCTAATCTTTTATAATAAGAATAAATTCAAGTGTGTACTTCAGAAGTTCCATGCTCTCTTTTGATAAATTTCGAGAGCTCATTTTTGAATTAAAAATTCTTCCTCTTGAAAAATTGAAGAGGATTTGAAAGATTGATTTGAAAAAAGAAGATTCTGGTTCTAAATCAACTACAAAATTCTCATATTTTCCCCCAGTCAATGCAGTGGTTTGATTAAAAGTTCAAAATTCATTGTTCAAATGTTAACCCTGCCCTTTGTGATATCCTATTCTATAGCAATTTTGGCTATAATAGGATGCATTGACCTGTTTTATTTTTATT